AGAGAGAGAGAGAGAGCTTAGAGTGGAGAGAGAGTGAGTGGAAAATAGAGCAGGGGCAGGGAGGAACGCAGGGAGTTTTGCTTGGCTGGAGTCAAAGGAAGCAGAGAAGAGGGTTTTTTTTCCCCTTCTTTTTGAGGAGAGAAGGAGCGTGGCAAACCACACACAGTGCTGGAAAACCACACTGAGGAGAAAGAGGAGAGGAATAGAGGATAACAAAGACTGCAAGAGAGGAGAGGACAGCCTAAAAAAACAAAGAATACAAAAATGGAGTGGTTTAAGGAGGAAGGAAAAGGAGAGGGAACAGTGTGTCTCACCTCATTGTTGATATCAAACACTCCCTCCTGGATCTTCTCATAGATCTCCTTGGCTGTGTTGATGAAAGCCTGAGACGGAGATAGGAAGTGAGAAAGAGAGAGAGAGAAGAGGAGATTCAATTCATATTTCTGTTGACTCCTATAAATGGGCCTGCTCAGCTCTTATAAAAATGTTTTTACATCATTAGGAATGCAAACCCGATTCAATGCAAGTTTCAGATGTTGAAGAACAACACAACCAGGCTTTAAAACATTGCGAAATGTATACTGATCAGCAGTCATGCCAAAACCCTAAATAATCTCGTAGAATCTTAAAACTTGCTGGAAATTGTAATCTATAACAGTGAACTATCATTCTCAGTTATGGCTCAAAGTGTGAACTGATTTGTTAAATATTCCATATAGGTGTGTCAATTGCTGGCGAGAAGCTGAGACATTCCACATTTAAGGAGGTGGCTGCTGAACAGCACTGCATTCACAATTTGTGTCAATGGAAATACACGCCCTGCAGACAATAACAAAACATGGATGTCATGAAACAGATGTAGATGTGAATTTGTCCCACCAGCACTTTAACACCACAAAATGAGCACTGTTGGGAGGGTAAGATATGCATATAAGACATTTAAAAGTAAATTAAATCTACATGAAATTAAAACATGCAAGGGAAAAAAGCATGAAACAAAGTCTGGAAAGCTGTGCTCACTAGAAACAAAGCAAACTGCATGCTAACAAAGCTAACATTTTTAAAGGAACCAAATCGAAAAAGCTTCTAAAGGATTGGTACAGCAATTTTGGGAATACAACAACATGCGGTTATTGTGAGAGTGAAATTAGAATAAGAGTATGCATCTCATGTCTGGAATCAGGGTTTGTGTGGGTTCATTTTAAGACTTTTTAAAAGGACCAGTGTGAAGGATTTAACGGCATTTGGCGTTGTAGATACAAATTACAATGCCCTCGCATCACCATCCTGTTCAAGTGTATAGGAGAAACTACAATGGCTGCCTTTTTAAGACCATTCTGAATGCAATTTAAGACCAATTTCACATCCACACTGAAAAAAAATAGTATGAGGGACATAAAGGAAAATGCTGGTTTCGTTTTTAAGAGCCCGCAGACACCCTGTGTACATTTAGTACAGAGCTGAAGACAAAATGTAGTTAGCTTAGCTTAACATAAAGACTGGAAGCATGTGGAAACAGTTCGCTAGGCTCTGTCCATCAGCAGCAGATCATCTGAAGCTCACAAATTAACACATTGTATCGCGTTTATTTAATCCACACACTGATAAACAAAAGTTAAACTTTTGATTTTAAGGGCAATTGCTGGAACTATTTCTTGGTGTGCTGCTTCCCACACTCTTGTTGTCACAGTGAGTTTCTCAGATTGAATGATGAACTGAATTTGGGAACCTGCACCACAACCAGCCAGAGACACTGCACAGAAGTACTGGGTGCATCAATGAACTATTGTTCATTAAGAAATAGTTCCAGAACATGGCTCTAAAACCACAGCTTGGCTAGCTGCTTCCCTATGCCTCCGTTATCTCACTGTCAAAAAGAAAGTAAATTAATGTCATAGCCCAACTGATACTGGATTTCTGAGGCTGGTGGTAATTTCGATATTTGGAATTTTAAAAATTTCACAACAATAAAGCATCTGACAGTAATATTCTTTACATAAACACATGAAATAAACAAACTATCTTGATACGGATCCCCTTTTCTTTTACAGTGAGCAAGATATTAAGCAGGAAGCCAAAGTACTAGACGAACTATGTGATGGTGACACTGTTTATAATTGACCTCAAACCTAGTTTCTGTCCTGCAATATCTTGTTACTTGTCAGCCGACATATACACTGATACCGATATAACCGATAAATACCCGGCTGATTTCTCCATCTAGCTCTGATATGTGCATTTCATCAAATGTTGAGCAATATCTTGATTTGTGTATTTTGATAAGCCTGAAAATGAGGAATGACTTTTAGGCATTCACTTAAAATGATATCAAATAAAACCACTCACATCTTTGGATCAAATATCCCTCAGCGATACATTGCTTTATTCTGTCCTGTCCCACATCAAGGTAGGAAGATGCTCTAAAAATTCTGTTTTGTTGGGAGCTCAAGATGTAGTCTATTTTAAGACTTAAACTTCTTCACTGAACACTATCTAAGCCCTTAGCTTTTAGAGGTTTACGTGATATGTTTGAAGACCTTGTTAGAAGATACAGAAACCCTTCAGAGCAGATTTGCTTCTTCAAGTCAACAGTTGCCATAACAATGAGAGAGACACACACACACACACACACACACGGCTTACTGACAGTACTGCGAGGATCAAAGATGTTAGAATAAGTGGAATTAAACTCCCTGAGCGACTAGCCTATGACTGTCGATGCAGTTGTCTCCAGGGACGGTCTCTTAGTGTTTGTGTCTCAAGGGTCTAAACTGGAGAGCAAGTAGGATAAACTGGGGATCTGACATCAGCTCAGAGCACAAACTGTCTGTGAAAGAACACTGAAACCCCGCTGCCTCCACATACAACTTTGTCGGGAAGGAAAGAAGCGTCTTTCTTTAGCGGAGTCGTTGAATACCTGAAAATGTCCTGAACTTCTATCTGACAAAGTCTGAAATAGGCCGAGGAGCCCAAGGGTGCTCTCCAGTAAACTCTGTCCTGTTCACTCCTGTCCTCTTTCCTTCCTTTAACACATCACAGTATTCCTTGTTCCTTCACACCTCTCTACACTTTATTTCTTGAATTTCTCCGAGTTGAGATTTGTGTAGATTGTAAAGACAGAGGAGAAAGTAAAAGAAGGAAACAGAAAACAGGGTCAAATGTGGAGAAAATGTTGATTTTATATATGAGATTAATTCGTCCCTGGCGAGTTTGAATGAAAGTGTCTTTTGGAAGTGGGAGGTAAAATGAGTGTTTTTGTTAATGGAGTCTGGTAGAATGTAGCAGTTTTGGTCTGAGATGCTAGTGTCGTATACAGCACCTTTAAGGAGTAAAAAGTAAAAATGGGAGAAGATAAGTGAAGAAATAGACAAGAGAACAAGAGATAAAAGAAAAAAGAGAAATATAGACACAAGAACAGAAAGAGATGAGGCTGAGGAAAGGGTCTCAAGGAAGAGGAGATGAGACGATGAGTAGATGCTTACAGGAATCTCTATCTCCCTAAGGACCATACCATCAACCCGGTGTCCACCCACAGACCCTGACGACAAACCCAGCGCACTGATTGGCTGCTGGATGTCGCTGAGAGGAGGCAGGGTGGAGGTTATGAATATGTATGAACTCTAACTGGTTGATATACTGCTGGGGAGAGAAAGGGAGATGATGGAGAAGAGGGAGGGGGAGAAAGGAGCTGAGGGAGGAGGGGAGGAAGAAATGAATGGAAGAGGGCAGGAAGACATGGAGGAGAAAGGGGAGGAACGAAACATTGGAGTAGGGGGAGGAGGAACTGGATGGGGGGGTGAAGCAGGATAGGAGGGAGGTAAAGAGCAAATGATGGACGTCGAGGGATGAGGAGGAACGGAGCGAGGAGAGATGAAGGGAAGGGAGGAGAGGAGCGGTATCAGGAGGATTCAGAGGACACTAATGAGACAAATTAATCATACCACACACACACACACACACACACACACACACACACACACACACACACACACACACACACACACACACACACACACACACACACACACACACCACACACACACACACAACACACACACACACACACCCCTCCTCATTTTAACCCACAGAGAGCTTCTATTCGCACAGTGGTGTGGGTGGTGTGGCTGTTTGCATGATATAGCCAGGAAGAGGGGTAAGCAAAAGAGAATCAATGTAAAACACACACACACCACACCACACACACACACACACCACACAACACACACACACACTGTGTGCAGTGCCCCTGGCTGGCATGCTGTGCAGTGTAGGATGGGATTATTTATGTGATTGGATAAGTGAGAAAGGGGTCCCCGGGGACAACGCCATGCATTCATTACACTCAACAACACCAGGGGTGTGTCTCTGCGAGGGGCGGAGCTGTGTATTAACTGTGCCTGATGATGCTAATGTGGAGCTGGCAATGTAAGGCTCCAGTGTGGTGATCCATGATGCTACAGATAAACGTAACGTAACGATATTACGTCAGGACATCCACAGAAAATATGCCTGCATGGTTAAATGAATAATTAAATGTTAAAGAAATTTTATTAATTGATGTGTAACTTTACCTTGCCTTTCTATTAGTACATTTACAGCTACTAATAACTAATACTACTACACCAATAATAATAAAATAAAAAAAAATAAAAAATAAAAATAAAAAATAAAAAAACACACCAATAGCAAAAACAAGGAATACGATTGTATAATATCAGAAGTGAATGACACCAACTGGACTAAAGGCGATTTGTAATACACAGCTATTACAGTCTAATATATGGGTCTAAGCCCAGTACTGCAGCCTGCTGAAGGCTTGTTGAGTGAACACTAAAATACAGAGGACTAGGTTCAGCTACAGATGTCAGCAGGCAGCACTGATATCTGTGAAATAGCCCATGATGTGTGTGAAATTCTAGTGATGGATGGATTTATGTCAGGACAAAGCTGTTAGCATTAGTGTTGACATGTAGGGAGTAGTATATATATCAGACAGATTGAGTTTATAGCATTTTCGAACTCGCCACCAATTAGTGAATTATTGCTGAAACATTGATGTGTAATGTTCAGGTACTTCACTAATATTCTTTATGTCAGTGACAAATAACCTGGCATTTTCAAATGTAGTATGAAGCACGGTGTGCATGGGTATAACTATATGTATGTACGGGAGTGTGTGTGTGTGTATTATTACCTCCTCTACATTAGAGGCCGTCTTGGCTGAGGTCTCCATGAATATGAGGCCGTGTTCTCTGGCAAATGCTTCACCTTCCTCTTTCTTCACCTCTCTCCTTGACTCCAGGTCACTAAAAACACACACAAACTCGTTAATGCAATGACATAATGTAATCAATTAGGGAAAAAACAGTTACCTTAAAGTTTAGCTTGAACACTGATAAATGTGTGAGTCCTTCTGGTTTTAAGCCAAGTAAACTTAGTTTCCAGGTGTTTGTAATTGTATCAACAGCAGCACTTTTTTGACAGAATGTGTATTATTTTTCTTATGTAACCCTGTTATGTAACCTCAGTGTTGTCAATAACCAACTGAGGTTTGCTGCAGGAGTAACTTCCCCTTTTCAATTTGTCATAAGTATGCATTTACCATAATTTGTTTCAAGGTACCTGCAATTCTATCAACAGCACTCTTTTGACATGACTTTATCTTACACAACACTGTTATGTAATAAACAAAGTATTGTGAACTACTAACATATGAGTTCCTCTTTTAAATCTCACAAAATGAGTCAACTCTAACAAGTGTGGAACAGTTTGTTTTATTTAAATTTTAAACACAAGCTACAGTGTGAGGTTAGGGCCAGGCTCAGGTATAACAGCTGTCCAGCTTACTTGGACAAATTATAAGGAAACTATCATTTTATAGCAAAATGCTCTTAAACAGTAGAGATGACTGTCAAACATTGTTGATGGTCCACTCTTATGTAGGGCAGGATGCAAACATCACTGTGCAATGGATGTGGCCACAAAAAGGATCTCACCTCTTGTTGCCAATAAGCATGATGACCATATTGGAGTTGGAATGTTGGCGAGCGTCCTCTAACCAGGTTGTCAAGTGGTTGAAGGTGTCCCTTCTGTTAAAACAAACACAGAATCTAGTTTTAATATAGTTTCCCACTAATTCAAAAGAACACAGAGAAAAAAGCACCTATTACCCCTGTTCTGGAAGTGAAATTGTATAATTTTACTCACTTGACAGTAGTACGTGAGACAGATAAGATGTGAAAAAAAATCAGGTTCCTCTCACTTGTTCTAGCAATCCTAATGGCATTTCGAGAACCTACCAGGCCTGAATGAAAACAACCAATCAGAGCCAAGATATAAAGACGCTTTGGGTTGGAAGCTTGACAATAGTTAATTGTGGAGTCTCATTCTCAGGGTCCTTAGAATGAGACTTCACCCATCTTTCTCCCCTCGGATTGGTTGTTTTTGTTCAGGCCTGTCTCATGTACTACTATCAGCAAATATGACAAAAAAATATTTTCATAAAAATGAACTACTGCAGCTTTAAGTCCCTGTAGCCTAAAAGGATGAACTCCATACCAGCTATTCAACTGACTGTAGTTGCAGATTAGGTCGGAGCTAAGAACCCCAGGATTGTCCTTTTGTGGAGCATGAAGATCCACAGAAAATGGATGGACATCATGGCCTTCATTTTTGAAAGAGAGGATGCTGGTGGAGGGTACATTTTGACCTTAGGGCAGCGGTGCACAAAAGGCAACAGGGTTGTAAAAATCGTTATGAATCAATATCTGGGGACCATGAAGATCAATAACAGATTTCATGTCAACCTGGCCAGTAGCTGTCAATATATTTTGCTCTGGACCATAGCGCTGAATGCTGCAAATTGGGTTTGAGAAGAGATGCAGCTAGCTCCCCATTTACACTTAGTCACTTCATGTGTCCTGCGTGGATCAGATAGCTATCAGCTCTCAAAAGAGCTGAGTGTAAATACACCCAATGAGCATTCCACCTCCGGAGGTGGTTTGACACACTTTCTGGCCAGATGCTAAGAGTGTAAATGCATCCGTCTCTCCAAGACACAAACATAATCTTCACTCCTCCCATAGTGTGTCAGTAAGCAGCCTGTGACTCACTGTTCGATTTTCATAACATACCCGATGAATCCTAATGACGTGAAGAAAAGATACATGTGTTTTGTATTTTCAAAATACAGGAAATTCTTGTAATATTGGGCATTCTGAATTTGCACAAAATACCAGAACATTCAGATTTTTGTAAAGCACACATGGCTCTGGGGAGAGTTTGAACCCTACAGGAAAGAAGAACAGGAAGCAAAATGAGCAAAAAAGAAGATTGAAAATGTCTTGTACATTATATAGAAACTTACTCTCTGTCCAATGCGAAGACAGTTGAGTAACCTTGTGAGGCAGCTAGACTAGCAAGATCATAAAATCACACAAGAACCCATCTTGCCAGTCTTCAAGCTGTGTGTTTGTGCCGCAGCTACAGTGGTACTGAGCCAATCAACGTCCTTTGACGAAGTACTGGCAGCTACGGGGTGGGCACTAGGTGTGACATAGCTGTAAGACACTATTTGTTAAACAAAAATGGCAGCTGATAAAGATGTAGTAGCGTAGATGCTGCTAGCATCAGTTAGATCAGGACTGGAGAGTATTTCTTCATAGAAAGAAGAGCAGAGAAATTGTGTTCACAATGGTGAGGAAAGGATGCTAGTAAGGCTGAACTAGGGGTATTTTAAGTACACATCATTGTTTCTCAATCTAACATCCAACTTCACAATGTTCCTGAATGCAGCTTGGCCACAGAGTGTGTAGGGGTCTGTCTGATTGGTTTCATTACCTTGTGATGTCATAGACTAGCAGTGCTCCTGCTGCTCCTCTGTAGTAAGACCTGGTGATGGACCGGAATGACTCCTGACCAGCCTACAGAAAGACACAAACGTATATTAATGAACACACATTTTTATCATTTTAGTACCCACAGACAACTGCTGATTGTCTGGGTTTTTAACAGCCCTAAGCCTGACGTTTGACTCTGCTCTCAGTCCTACAGGTCATCCTCCCACAAGTCATGTTTATGTAGTTTAGTTCCATATATGTTCTGTAGCAGCCATGATTCCCTAGCATAGTCAGGCACCGGGTTTTCAGTCAGCCAGGGTAACGACAGGACAGAGCAGGGCCTGTAATTGAATACAATGGAGTTCTCTCTTTCCATCTGTCACAATCCCTTTCTTTCTCTCTGTTTGTGTGTCAAACCTCTCAATTTCCCTATTTATGAACCAAATGGAAGGTCACATCATTAACTGTGTGTCATACATACAGTCTGTTTATCCCCCTCTCTCACCTTGTTCACCCCCCCACATTGTCTCACCTCCGCTGTCTCTTCCTTGCATCACTCATCTTTTCATTCTTTCACTACAAATCCCTGGGCCTCCCCTCTTTCCATCACTCCTTTCACTATGTAGCGCTCTTACCACCCCCCTGCCACATCTATTCATCCTCTGTCTCCGTCCCATGTACAGTAACAATGTTGTCTGTGTTTCGTCCAGGCCGGAGCAGAAAACAAAACAGCACTCTTATCCTAGCAGCTGCAGCCCTGCGCTGCTCTGACCTCATCTGAAAAACCAGACAGTCAGTCGGTGAATCACTCAGCAAGTCAGAGGACCAGGCTGCCAGTTTGTCAGCCAGGAACCCAGTCTGTTGATCAACGAAGCAGTCGCTCACTGAGTCAGAGAACTAGTTAGTCGCCAACTAGTTAGTTGGTTGGCTAGAAACCCGTTCAGGTATTCAGTCAGTCAGTGAGCCAAACAGCCACTTAGAAGCCCCCACGAACAGTCAGTCAGTCATTAAGAGAGCAGTCAACCAGTCAGTAATTCTATTAGTGAATAAATGATAAATAAGGGTGAAAGAGAGGGAACACTGTGTCTGCCTGCCATCTGGCCTTTATGCCTGCGTGCAATAACACACATACATGCACACGCACTTATTCATGGCATGTGCAGCCTACACAATGATCTGACTGCTGTTTCTAGCCATTTGGTGATGGTGGCGGAAGTCCAGTAAGCATCAGTGAGCCCTGCTGGTTTTCATTTTGAGCATCTAATCAGGGCTAACACCTGGATGGCCAGGTGAAGACTTAACTAGCTGGTAGGATGAAAAACCTTGAAGAGGTCTTTTCCTCTCATACTTGGAGAGGTGTTTTTCCATAGAGCGCTAACTCCCCCTGCTGGCCAACTGGGTACCTGCACGTACAGGAGACCATAGTGCACTGAGCCAGTAGTCAGAATATTACATTGGAGGCACACGTTTGCGTGTTACCCACAGTTCATCATGGTCTTATGCTTTATAACACGCAAGTTATCAGCGTTTTTGCACCTGCAAGTTGGTTTTAGGACTGATGACGAATTAAGATGTTAAAGTTTATGACAAGCTGAATCAGCCATTCGTAATATTATTGATGTTCAAACACAGTGCAGTTATGGTAAAAAATGGTTCCTTCACTCAGCATTTAACAGACAGAAAGCATTTAATATGTTTTCTCTTTTATGTATACTAACGTCTCAAGATAACTATTTAATTGCTTTATTAATTGTATTAATCCCCTGAGCTCATGATTGTGCCTTCTTTATACAGTCCTCTGATTGTCTGCTGATCCAACTTATTTGTTCATTATGTGGAAATAAAATGAAACCAGCAAAACATTGGAACTTGACTGAGCCATGTATTATGTATTTGTGTGAGGGTGGGATGTCCTCATTAATCAAGTGTGTCCCACTTGGGCACTGTAGCAGTTACTGGAAATACTGTAAGCGTGGGAATTGGGAGAGACCCTCCATTTTCCTGTTTTCTTGACCTGTAGGGAAGGCAAGATGTGATACAGAACTCATAGCGAAAGACAAGCACAGTGCTGAGAGAGGTTCTGTCAGTGAAAAATGAGTTTTTATATAAATATTCACCAAAGTTATGAATCAAACATGTTATTTATCAAATAGAATTAATTATTAAAAGCTAAAAACTACTGATAGACAGATTACCCGCATTCACTAATCAAAAATAGCTTTCTGAAGACTTTTTCAGGTTCATATTTACATCAAAATTAAACTTATTTTAAAAATTACAAAGAAGGGATCATTACAGAACTACAGGCTAATGTTTAAGAGTGCTAATGCTTACATTTCAAAGACTGGGGAGGGAAGATATAGATATAGATATATATTACCGTATCCCAGATCTGCAGTTTGATCTGTTTGCCATCTATAGTGATCATCCTCGCTCCAAACTCCACACCTAGACACCCACACACACACAGAGAATGTAAATTAGGTACAATTAGGTGACTAAATCAGAAAGTCTCTAAAGCTGCTTATTAATAAACCATATCAGTTTAGTTATCTTCTCAGGTGTCATAATAAGTGCATATAAAAAGTGTATTGTGTGATTATGCACACTATTATTATTATTATTATTATTATTATCATTATTATCATCATCATCATCATCATCATCATCATCATCATCATCATCATTAGTAGTAGTAGTAGTAGTAGTGGTCCAGACTGGAACCGCATACATGATAAATTGTGACAAACGGACAGAAATTGGACAAAGAGGAAGCATTTTGTACCCCAGTATTACATTTCCATGTTTTCCAAATAATCTTATCAGGAGATTGTTTTCTTAACTGCTCATCATCAGCAGCTGGATTTAACAGTAGCTTAGTCAGTAAACTGTAATGCTTTAATTATCTGTAGGAATATTATAGAAATATTATATAGCAACAATTAAAAGCAAGCATTTTAATCAGCTTTATTATTTGCCCCAGCAAAATGTTTGTTGATTAATTTCTGACTGATTGTTTTTACATCGTTGGACAATGGATGGTTACTGCAACAACCCTAAACTACTGATGGTAAATTTAGACTTTTAATGTTGATTTGATAGATTTCACATACCTTGTGCCTTCTAAAGTCAGAAATACGAATATATCTTAACACATTTCCTATCTCATTACTAATAAATGATTTACTGTAACTGGGGCAACTTTAAGATGAGTATGGTCTCCTTCTTTTACGACATCAGATGTAGTGGTTGTCTCTATGATCTGGCTGAGTCTTAGGGCTATGGTGAGCTCAGCTTTGCTTATCTTAAACAACGTTCTCCTTCACTGCGATAACGGTTCATGATATTAGTGCTTTATAGCTACAACTTGCAAAACCCACCACAGCTAATTACTTTAATTAGCTCCACCTTTTCAGCCTGTTGGCCCCATCCTGTATTGATTTTGCACTGCTTTCTAACAACATGCGTGTGTATAAATAACAAACTCTAAATTAGGATGACATTTTATACATTTAAATGAATATATTTCTAGTTATGATGTTGCTTTAGTGCTGAATGTGTAGGAGGCAGGCACTCTTACCGATAGTGAGGTCGTGAACTGGCTGAAACCTCTTGTCTGTGAACTGTAGTAATAGACATGACTTTCCCACACCTGAAAATGAAACACACAAACATTAAAAAGGGTGTAATGCAGCAAAATTGGAACAGTGATTCATACATGCAAGCATGAACACCAAACGTACCAACAATCATTATAAAATCTATTACATTTCCTAGCAGTGAACTCCCACACAGCGCAGACACACTCTGCTGTTTGAAGGTGACAAAACTCTGCAGGGAGTTACAAATGTACAACAATAATGAATGTCTAATACATATAATTCATTCAAATTTAATGTAGGAATATTGGAGTCATTGTGCAGGTCAAACAACACCAGCAGGGAGCTTACACACCATTTTCCAACCTAGCTTCAATTAACCTGAGCCAACTGTTAGCGTGCTAACTGACCAGCTGGCTTCTTTGTATGTGTGATGCCACTGTTGTTGGTGGCACTGGTGAATCTGCTCATTATTAACTCTACATATGACTTCAGTTCTGGATGTTGCAGACCACAAACACGCAGATGGAGTAAGATTACAGTCAATGGCATGAGGTGTCAATATTCATTTCTTTAACTTGAAACGACCGGCATTTATTATCTTTAGTATCTCAGCGCAGCGGAGCATTGAATTACAAAGTCAGATGGCGAGGCTAGCGAATTTAATTACTAACTAATTTTAACAGCAACATGAAATATTTGAGTGGAAATGTGTCAAGTGAGTGACCTAAGTGTTCATCCCTGGGCAGTGTATGAATGGAAAGTCTATGTGATTATCAATCGTCAAACAGCAATGTGATACAATACTTTGTTACTGAGAACATGCAGTCATACACATTCTCATATGGAAATATTTTCTGGTTTCTTTCTGAAACTGAATATATCTGTGTTGTAGTTGTTATTTAATGCTTAGTTTGCAGACTTGGGTTCATGCTAAGATGAGCATTTGGTGTTTTGAGGTTAGGGAGCACATTTATCTTCATATGTGTGGGAGAAAAAAGTCCTTCTGGTGTCAACAAGCCTTTGAAGATGGATGGAAGGAGGGCGTGGGGTGAGAAGGGATGAGAATGATGCTAATGAGATGGCCAGAAAGACAAACTGACAGATATTCAAGGAGGTGACAGAGGGATGTGGTCTCCCTTCTTGGTGGTTTCCAAGGGTTACCATTGCCAGGCAGCGGCGTTGCTGGGCAGGGATTGTGTGATGATAATGATAAGAGATGGAGGGATCATGAGGAGGGCAGCTCTGTAGAGGTCCAACAATCATGTCATCATCACCCCTGTCTCCATCAGCCATCAATGGCTCAACTGCTAACACAGAGGAAACATTAAACTCCCATTTGCTATATTTTTCCAATAGCAAAATGGGTTAAAATAAAATTAACAGACATTTCCAGCCAAGAGGTAACAGCGGGTTGCCTGTGGTAGAGAGCATGAGCAAACTGCCTACAGCAGCCCACAATCAAAACCTGCTGTGCCTTCAAATGCTAAGAGAGGCTACAATCACATAATTAGTGGCGAACTACCAAATATGTTACAGAACAGGGTCTTTCCTACAGCTTCTAGTTGAGCTCATAATGCCTCACCATACCAGAAGCTCATGCAGAGGTAATTCGAATGTGGAAAGAGCCGCTGGGCTATCGGAGAGCTAAAAGCCAGCCAGGTGACTGAGCGGCTGGTTGGAGAACAGTTTGACTGGATGATTAACAGGTGGATTCATTTAGCTGCACTGGCTAAGCAAACACCAGTCTGATTCAATAGATGTGGACCAGTGAGATAAGTGCTGGCAAACATTCTGCTTCCTTCCACTGAACTGCAAGTGCTAGGCCCACAGTATCTAAAATCTACACACTAACTATGAAGAAGCTTAAGACAAGACGTATACTTCGCAATGAGCAAGATGTTCTGAAGTAGTGCCTCAAACATTTGGTCTGAGAGTATCAAATAATCCAGCACAATATTCTGCACTGGAAAGGCACGGAATAAAGAGGTGGTGGTTTTCAGAGGAGAAAAATTAACAGATCTTTTATGTTTCAGGTCTTTAAGTTGAATTCTAAGGATTTAGCAATAAAGAGATACGTAGCTGCACTTGGTTTAAACAATACTAAAGCCTTGTCTATCTGCCACATTTTCTCACAAACGTCTGACGGAACACATCTGCTACACACGTCTATTTTCTTCAGTCGTATGTGAGTAACAGCGCTTGTGTGTTGGGATTTTAGCACTGCCAACACCTACACCTCATTACTGTGCCTGAATGCATGAGTTTAGGCACAATGGAGCTTTGAGCTATATTTTTATTAAGATTTAGATTTTTAACAACTATAGCAGGTCACCCAGAATCTGGCATATTCCTGACTGAAGTCTGCCCTCATACCCTAACTACTACTGAGGTGGCTTCAAGCATGGCAATCCATCTCTAGCCAGTTCACTGGATGGAGCTGCCGAAGGAGTCGTCCCTGTGGCTGACAGTAGGGGACTAGGGTCTAGTGGTGCTTGAACTTCCAGTCTTAAAAACACATCAATATGGACTTCCTGTGGCCATGTAATCACAATTTTCCTGGTTCCAGACCTTTGTCTCCCCCTTCAACTCTGAAACCATTGGCCTTGTTCAGGGTGCAGTAACACAATGTTGTTGACACTCAAAGAATGATTTATTCTACTCAGAATACTACCTTTTTCATGAGGCAGTTAGCACAGCTGATCTAAGTCAGTCACTCAGCTAACCACATTAACTTCTGGTGACTGATACACAAGATAATATAGCTAGACTCTCCATGTGTCAAGGAGAATTGCTATAATGAATAAATACACTGAAAGGGTGACTTTATTTCAGTCATGAGCTGGAGAGTCATATCATCATCTAATTTGTCTCATTACATATGTCACATACTGCTAGATAAAATTAGAGCTAAAAAGCAAAGCAAGGGACACATGTCTAGGCTTTACAGAGAAATCTACTTTGGATTTCCATTTCAACAGTTTTGGTTTCAGTTTTTATAACATGTCTAGTTTTAGTTCATCTTTTGTTTTAGTTGTAAAGTTGTATTTGAATTAACACCAACATTACTAAGGTAGGACGGCAAAGAAATTCAAAATGTATGTTTCGAGTGTAGACTATGCAGAGCTGCACAATTAATCGCATTATTATTATTATTATTATTATTGTTAACCTTGACAACAGTTCAAGTAGATGGTGGTAGTGTGGCACTATGTAAGCAGACATTCACCAGATATTTAGGGGAAGGAAGCAACAGTCTATCAGAAGCAGCACTGTGCAAGAAAAGTGGAATTTCCTAACTAAACGTTCATCACACCACCCCTGGACTGCAGGCTCCTGTTGTGAAACTTTAGTCAGGGCACTGTACAACTGACCCAGGGTCATCTTCTCTCAGAGCTCAGTGACTGTGGGGAGGGGTTCTCAGCTAGTGCTTTAATGTTGAATACTCAGTGTAATGAAGTATTGTTTTTATTATTGCATTAATCTTTATGCGTTTAGTAAAAGAAATCCCAATGGACTTCTTCACTCTTCCTTCAGAGAAATGTCTGTGCTTCTCCTTCCCAGTGAACCACAACGCACCTCAAAATTCTGAGAAAGGGGTCAAACTTCTTAGAGAAAGTAGAAAAGTCTCTGGAAACTTGCAGATGTACAGGCAGTGCTCCATAGAACAAGAGTCTATTTTTGGAGCTTTAAAAGTGCACAGAGACTATAATTTTCTTTCAGAGTCAGTCTGTCTTTCTGCCAACCAGATCTGTGGACAGGCTGGCTGGAGGCCACTGGCTAAAGAGAAAATCCAACCTAGAACAGGATTTGCATCTTTTTTCTATTGACCAGGACAGTTCAATCGGTATGACACTGCCTCGTAGTATCATCATGGAGGAAAGTCTCTCCAGAAATGATTGCACAGCTCTACCAACACTGAATGGAATTACTAAAAGTTTTTGTAAGTATTATTTGGGGTTCTGGTTCATTAGACAGCATGCAGCAGAGGACGTGGTGATGTGGCGAGCATCTTGAACCCTTTGACCATTGGGATGCCCCACTCAGTACTGATTTTACCTAATTTCACATTTGAAGAAGCACCAATGACACATTGAGAATCTCCATTTAAAAACAAAAAGCACAAAAGGTAATTTTTTAAAGAAATATACTAAATAAGCTTTAAACATTACCAGAAAACCGTGATATGAAAAGGAATATGTGGGATTGTAACTTTCCAGACTATGTCACAAAGACCCATGTGGTTAGTTGTCTAAAAAACCTGAGGTATATCTCACAAGGTACAAGAACTGGTTAAAGGACCAGTGTGTAGGATTTAGTAGTATCTAGTAGAGTACCAGTTGATAGAAGTTGCAACTCACTGAACACCACTGGCCTCTGTATTTGACGACCTGGGAATGAGAACGAGTTGAGAAACTACAGTGGCTGTAACACTCGAAGCGTGGCCAGGGTTCTGGGCTACTGTAGAAACATGACTCTATGGAAGGTGACCGCCGCAGGATCGACAGATAAAAACCTCTCTTTCTAAAACACCACTCTCATTTTCAGGTGATTATACACTAATAAAAACATAGCTATAAATATTATATTCAATTACTGACAATAGATCCTATGTTACACACTGGAACTTTAATGAAAGACAACTGGGAACAAAACTAATGCTGGATATAAGCCTGAATACAAAATGACTGCAAATTTAAAAAAAACACTGCTGTATAATGGTGTCAGCCAAGAAGTTTTCTCATCTGTCCCAAAATGCTGCCTCTGTATCAGACCTTTAAACCTTTATCTACGCAACTGACTGACTGGTACTGGATCTTCCTCATTCTCAGAGTGCAGTGGTAATGCTTATCACAGATCTGAGCCAACTGGATGAGTCAAACTGATTAAGTTTTCCTCTGCACCTCCAGCAATCTAGTCCTGTTGGACAACTAACTAACGAAAAATCACAACAGCCTACGTGTACAGCACCACATGGGAGCCCGGTGCGTCTGACAGCTGGTATGGTGCAGGTCAAGGGTTAGACTGTGACCTGGAGAGTAATGGAGGGAAGACCTTTAAAAGCAGACATATGTAATAAAGCATCTGTTGCCATGCAGCTGGACCGGCACAGAGACCAGAGGGTTTTCTGGATGAAGCTGCAGGTCTTGTAAATTGGGGATTATTTGTTTTGGTGTATCAGGACTTGCCGTGGCAGTTACTAGGGTACAAACAGACACACCCAACTGAAACATGTCAAACTACTGTACTGTATAAGTAGCCTCAGATAATGGAGGGCCGATAAGACCTGGCTGTACAAAGTAACAAAAAGTGAATCTCCATTAGTCGGCAGGAGGTCGAGATAAGGACCTGATAGGTTCAATTATAATGTAAGGGTGCCAAGTAAAAGTCAGATTAAGTGTCCTCCTCTAAAATATGAGCCTTGTGTCAGGAAGTATTTGGAATGACAAACTCACTTACCACTCATCAAATTAAAGAATTAGCCCAATGTTTAGCAGAACCTGACAGACTGCTTTCTCAGGCTTAAATTACCCTTAGCAAAGAATTAAATCATGTCCCTCAACACAATTTACCTTCAAAGGTGGCTCATGAATAACGTACACTCAATAGGCTACCAAATATGATCTGTGCGTTTGTGTTCTATACGTGTTAACCAATGTAAATGTTGAGCTCTGGTTGAAAGAAATCACATGATCCAGTATTAGCAAACATCTTCCAACAAACCTGACTGTTGCTTCAGATGTGTGCAGGCCTGCAGCTGGAGGTTTTATCATTTCTACACATTGATTATTAAGATTTAGGCACTGGAAATTTGATAAATCAAAATCTTCAACATATGAATACAGGAACTGTTATTTATATTAATACACCACAAGGAAAACTAATCTTTTAATTTGCTGAGAAATGGACTGGTTTTTGCTCATGCAAAAGAAATGTCTCCTCTCCTGTGTGCTTTTTGGAGATTTACTATTATATCTCAGTGTACACAGATTATGCGTCTCTTGGTCCAGTGTGACTCAGAGTACGGCCAAACAGAACACAGCCAAATAGTGTGGGATTAGGGAAGGTGATAGATACCAAAAACTGCCTCCTCTACGCAAAACAAACACAACATTCAGTGTACTAAAAGCCCGTTTTAACAGAGGTATATAGATATCTGTAATTGTCATTCCTAATCTTGACAATAAACTTTTTTTAAAGATTTTCATTGGAGCCGATTAGGTTTGTGGCTGGTTCTGAGGCTTCCATAGAACTCTGATATGGTCCCAAGCACTCCGCTTCCAAACTGGTGCTTTATCACACAGTGACAGTATAGAAAATAGTTGTTTTGATCAAACTCAACTTCATCCTTTGCCAGGAGATATCAACGTCACCGTCACCTGCACTGTTCTGTAACTGCTCTGTCAAAAAAGGTATTTGTGAGAGCCAAATACATCCAAAACAAATGTCTGTCTTTCCTTCCTTCTGTTACTCCTTTCTTTCTATTCAACCAATGACGCCAAAGGTAACGTGTTGGGGCGTCCTGAAAGCTCACCTAGTAGAGGAAGAGTCCTCGCTGCAGTGGCCATGGGTTTAAGTACGTCCTGTGACCCTTTGCTGTGTGTCATCCCCTCTCTCTTTCACCCCTTCCTGTCGCAATCCATTAGAAGTCAATAACAGGCCCAAAAAACAGACAAAAATAAATAAATAAATAAAGGACTTCTGTGGTTTTGTTGCTTGTGGGCGTGATTCAGTAGAGAAAGGTTTTGGATTTCATGGCAACCTACAATGACATGTAGGAGCAGTTGTAATGCTACTGGTCACATTCTGACCACCCTGAACATACTGGACACAGAAAATGTGCACAAAATCTTCTTCCACTCTGTTTACACGTAAACCTGGACATACACATACAACTGATGCTGTACACAGTAGGCTCTGCTCCCTGTCATGGACAACAAACCAGATATTTTATAATATTTTCCCCAGGTTATCAAAGGGTTTCAGCTTTACTTTCTCATTCTCCTGAGGATTCCTTGGGAAGCCCACACCACACGTGATCAGATAGAAAAAGATGATTTAGATGCGTGCACTGCCGAGTATTTCTGGTGTAGGCATACATGTAATCAAGCTAGGACCTTGGCTGGCGCTTTCTTCATCACTCGCTACTCGAGATAAACAACAACAGCAGGCAAAACATGAACCTGTTTCGCAATAACACTGTAGTAAGCGTGCAGCCCACCAGTCATCATCTTAAATAAATCAGTACATTATGAACCTTTTCCCAACATGCTTCAACCTCCACCATAACAACATGTTTTGGTTTCTATACTACCATAACATAACACGTGTATGAGGAGAAAACATTTCATAATAATTTATTCTACCTTTCTTGACTGGAAACACCTGTTTGGCTCTTGACTGCATATTTGGCCCAAGTCTTTGGTTTGGCTTCCTGTACTGAAAAATCCTGACACATTTCTCACTCCAGCGCAGATGACTGCTGTTTTCTAACACTGGTGCAACAGTATTATAATACAGCTGTGTTACAAATGCACCTGCTGCCATACTGCAAGCTAACCTCGCAGGGCCCTCATCAGGACAGCCAGCTCACAGTAAACAGATGACAACATTAACTACTGCTCCCCTGGTTTACCTCACAGGGGGACCGATTACAGAAAAACCTACAATCTTGTTAAAAAAAACAGAGGAAGAAAGCCAACGACGAGTGTAATTGGTGCAACATGTATTTGGCCAGAAATAACAAGTGCTCTACGCCATTTTAGGGAATATTAGAGGCTATAGCTTGGCGTCCTGGCCTTCTGTGAGAAGAAGCTAAGCTAATATAAACTGTGTCACTTGATGATGCATCCAAAACAAACAGCCACTGGATCGTATGATTGTCACAGTGTGTGGTAACGAGCTCTAATGAGTGGTTCATTTGCTGCCCTCACAGCTGTTTGCTCAATATTCCGTCAGCAGCTAATGCTAGCTACCTCGGCTAGCAGGCTGTGGCTAACACCCCCACCCTCGACGCAAACGGACAAAAGGCCCAACATCTATCTGCCAGTGTCAACAACCGCTACGACAAAGCAGTACAGGAGAAGCTTAGGTCAGGGTGCCTGTGTATACGTTTCTGGCATTGTCAGCGTATTTTAAATGTTACCCAAATGTGTTAACAGCGCATAATTGGAGCTGTCATCCCACCCCTTGCGTCTGTGCTTTGACCACGTCATTGGACTATCCAACACTGCGGAAATACACCGCTAGCTAACCACAGCTAACAGCTAGCTCAATGCTAACGGGCTGTCTAGTTGGCACTTGCTGCGGCTTACCCGTGTCTCCGATGATGATGTATTTGAAGAGGTACGCATACGCCATGGCCCCTGGTTTGTGCAGTCAGCTGTCTCGACCGTTTCACCTTCGTTGAACCAAGCGTGAACCGTGTGAAAAAGGTAGCTGACGGCTTGTTAGCCTGTTTTTCTCTGTCGGTGCTGAGGAAGGAACAATAAACAGCCAGAGCCTCAGCTCTACGTCACACGGCCCGCCCTCGCCACGCTACAGAATGATGTCTTCAGGGTCTCCTCGGAAACTTTACGACATGTTCAATTACTCCACTCTTTATTGACATAAATGCACGGGAGTCAGTTAGTGTGGCGCTTTTAATACTTAGGGAAAACAGCTAAACCCATTCTTTATAATGATGTAATTGTTAATATTGTATGAGATTGAAAACATTAAACAAATTCACCAAAAAACAAATTATTGTGAAACTGTTACAAGTCTGAAGTCACTCTGGCGGCCCCTAGCGGCTACATTGTTCACTGCAGCCCACAACTCAAATTTGATGGACGGAGTGGAAATTATATATTACTGTAATCAGTATACCATTATATTTTTTAATGATTATACAAATACAGGTAAAATGGAACTGTTTTGTTTCAAAGACACTTTGTCTTTTTTATATTTTTATTATATTCTATTGTATTGTATTCTTTCTTTTACTCGTTTCCCTGTGCTGCTGTGCCAAATTTGAATTTTCCCTATGAAGGATCAGTAATAGAACATCTTATTATATCTTATCTTATCTTGTGATTGTAGGGCATACAACGGAATCATGTTTGGTAACTCTCAGTGACCAGGAACAGCAATAAAAACAAGAATAAACAAGATAATACATATAAATATAAAGTTAATGGTTGTAAAGCAGGGCTCTCAAACTGCCAGCCTGGGTGCGTTAACTGACCCTGCACCCCCTACCTCAGGTCAGTGACATGATGTCAAAAATATAATATAATCTAGAATTAAAATAAAAACACATTCAGAGAGGCTAACATGGTAATATTACATTTGATTCAAGCCTGCATCTCAGGCATCAAGCTTAGGAACAATATAGACCTTTAGCTCCACAGACATACAGCTGTGTTTTAATCACAGGCTCAAGGGTTAAACCTGCACTTCAGTTACAGGGAGAGTTTTAAAGCTGACGGAGCAAACATTTTTCAAAAAGCTAAGCCATCATATGGTCCTTTAGCTTTAACAGGGACATTGAATTTTAAACACAATAAGGTCTGAGGAGAAACTTTGACTCTGCTGCTGCACCCCCTGTGCTGAGCTGTGGCTCTGAGAAAATCTTTGGTGGAAGTAGTTGTATTCAGTGTCTCAGAGAGCTGCAGATCATGGGTCCAGTATCACCATCAACATCAGATATATCTGAGAACAGGAGATGGTTGGTTTCATCTTCCCTTTGCTGCCAAATAAGCCTTTTTTGTTTTTCCCTGTATCAATTATCTACATCAGTTCTCCTACTGACCAAAACTTTGAGGTAAGACGGTTGGTCTTAGTTGTAGTTTAAAATATGAAGCTGTCATTTTTGCACCAAAAACCAGCAGTGCATTTGTCCTGCTAACAAGTATCATCTGTGTTCCACAAAGGTAGAACCCTGGCCTACAATAGGTGACTAAAAGCAGGACAGGTTTCAGTGGTGGACCTTCATCTTCTCTGGCTAGTTGTCATGGTTACAGCAGTGGGCATGTATTGATCCATCTAAACTGCTGCAACAACGAAGATGTATGTTTGACATACAACTAGAACTATGTCTCTGAACCAACTTTTGACTTACATCATCTGTCGCATTGGAAAGTATTGTATATAGGGAATGTTGCAAAATGAGAAATTTGCTTTTTCTTTCTTTATCATATGAGAAACACAAAAAATACCACAGAACCTCATTACTCAAGTACTCATTACACAGTGCTCTGAATTCCTCCTCCTCACACACACACACTTTTACCTATTGCAGATTGCAATAAATCCTCAACCTGGCAGTAGCTATGAACATATTACTTTTCTTACAACATCAACTGTGTTAACATAGCTAAGTTAACATTAGATTTGTGTCTGACTAGCCAGCATTTCACCCAGCAGCATTATCTCTACAACTTGCCTAAAACCTGGATTCAAAAAACCTAAAGAGAATTTATGTGTCTTAAATAGACGATTATTTCTGGGGGACTGCCGGTACATGCAACTGACCCCAACCAAGAAGCTGCGCTGGTAGCAAAAACTGTTTCATATTGGTTCTAGAAAGCTTATGCAAAAATCATTAAGGAACTAAAGCTGTCAAAGAAGTGTAGTGGAGTAAAAAGTAAATATTTGCCTCTGAAATGAAGTATAAAGTGGCATGCAATACAATAATTTGTACTTAAGTTCAGCATTTTCTTAGTGATGTTAGTGATGCTAGGTCAGTATAATAACCTACAATATACAGGTTTAATGAGTGTATGAAACAATTTGAATAAAAAGTGTAAATAGCACTGGGAGACTAAAATCTAATGGTTACACAAAAATATGAATGATTAAAGAAATCATAGCATCAAATATCTGTATGTTACTGATAGTAAAAAACAAAAACAGGAAATATTTTGCAGGAAATGAACCTGCTCTGGTGATGTTCATGTTTCTGTTGTTGACTGTTTTCCATATCACTATCATAGTAACTGCTGAAACAGCCACTTGATGGCAGCAGTGTTAAGTTATCACACCATAGGTAGCACGCAGTACAAAACAACTATAGAACCACATCAAATGAACAGTTTGAACAGTCAAACAGCAGCGATAGTTAAAACACTTCTGCAGCTGAGCTGTAGTGGCTCATCAATTCCTGCAGAGAGAAGCAACGTGCCATATTCTGGAGGGGATTTTTTCCTGTGTGTGTATTCTTTGTGTGTTTTATTTATTGGTTTATCCAACAGGGACAGTGCACATCAATAAACACTGGGTGTGTAAATTAAAGTTTTCATCTATTTTTCACCTGTTCTCCCTGGACAGATGTTACAAACTCATCTTAAAAATATAAGAATATGAGATTAAACTGTTATTAAGGACAATAATTAAAAAAAGGAAGCCCCTCTTTTTGCAGGAACACCCTGAGACCTGCAGTTGCTAGCTGGCTGAGTGCACTTTCTGCTGGTGCCCTCTGAGCTAACACTTCTTTCATACATTTGATTAAAGCTATAATCTGTAACATTTCTGCATTAAACTGTGTATAAACTCTAGATCAGAAACAGTGATTTTTAAGGTGGAACTGCTTTATTCAGTGTTTTTAGTGGTTTTAATCAGGTTTGTTTTGGAGAGGAGGAGACCTCTGTGGATAATTGGAGAAGCTGACTGCTGGCTGCTGCAATGACAACAACTCCCACAATCCCACACTACTTAACGACGTGACCAAACTTTGTCTTTTGCTATTGTTTTGATGTGAGAGACCCCTAGTGGCAAAAAGGACATATTGTATCTTTAAATAATCCATCTTTCAAATGGGTGTAGGTGCTTGCACCAATTACAGTATGCAGCCCAGGCCCTCCCGTCCCACTGCGAATTAACTGCAGTCCATGTCCTGCTTTTAGATCCACAGTGTGGAAACAGGGGAGCTCGCCTGCATTTAGATGGCTCAGAGGATAATTTCCCGATAAGGAATGTGGGGCAATTAACATCAGCAGCCCAGAGGATATAGATTAAGAAAGAAAGAAATTAAGACAGGAAGAACAATGGGGACCATGAACTATTAATTGCTCTTGACTTTTGCAAAAATAACCCAAATAACAAAATACATCTTTTTAATTCAACACACTGGAAACACAGGAACTAAAGTATAACAACCCCTTTTTGTAAAGCATCAGGGTCTGACCACTGAGCTTCATGAGATCCTGTGCCAAAAAGTGAATGTGTGAGTGTTAAATAGTTTCAGTATCCAGTGTGTCTCTGTCCATCTTGAAGTCATCAAGGTTGGAGAACAGTTTGGCCTTTCACTCTCTCCGCCCTGCTGTATTCTGCCTGTTTCCTTCACCCAAGGGTGGGTCTGTGGCCTCCAACAGAAACACCAGCATGACCTTCCTGCCAGCATTCCTACACACATACACAAAACCACAAGGGCACCCACAACAGCACAAAGGTTAACAGAAAACAACATACAAGTCCAACTGGAACCCAGAAACATGAATAATATAATGAAAAGAAAACTTAATCAAAGCTCATACACTTAAAAGTTTGTTTTCAATCAGCAGTCATGATAAAGAGGGACTGTGGGTGAGAAAGAAAGTGATCTGTGATATCTAGAGGAGGGCCAGGGTTAGCGAACACACCTGCAGTCTGCAGAGTAAAAGAGAGAGAGAGAGAGAGAGAGAAAGAAAGGAAGACGGAGAGGAAGAGAGAGAGAGGGGGCAGAGAGATAACAGTGAAGTGGAGAGAGAGGAAGAGGAGGAGCAACTGAGTAAAGAGAAATACAGAGAGGCAGAGAGCTCCACACACATCAGTTAGTAGCTGCAAGAGGACAAGAGCAAGAGAGGACATAAAAGGAGGGGAGGACGGACAGAACAGAGACAGGGAGACAAGAAGAAACTAAAGTAAAAGACACAAAGAAGAAAGTCAAAGGCTGTGGGAGTTGTTGCTCGGCTGGGAATCCATCCAGCAGACTGCTGAGACTTCAGTTTGGGTCCAAGTGAACGTACAAAAACCAGTGTGACTGGGACTCTACTGAGGGGACAGACTGGTTTCTACCCACAGTGAGCAGACTGCTGAGCACCATGGCTGACAACGTGAATGAGGAGTCGGATTATAACCCGGGGAAAGATGAGCTGGACTGGGGCTACGAGGAAGGTAAAACTGGTCTTCATCAGTATGGAGGGATGCTGGGAAATGTGTGATGTCAGCTGGTGCATTAGTTGAGGGTGCAGATGGGTCTGAATCCAGAACTTTTCGCACTCTGTGTAGTCTTTACCTAAGGTTATTCTATAAGTGGAGTTTGCAGTGTTGACACATGTTGTAGACTCTTGTTTTTGAATGATTTCAGACTTACTCTAACACACTTCAGGAAAGCTTTTCAAATGTGCTGTTTTTAACTGTTCTGATGGTGTTTCTTGTCCCTCTGCTGTGCAGGAATAGGTGCACTTCATATCAAAGCAGCATAATAAGTTTGTTTTGAATTAATATATGAAGGCATACGAAATACAGACTGTAATTATATGTTGTACTGAGTGCCTCAACATTATGTGGAGAGCATTCAGAGCAAAACACCAAAAGAATGAAAATATATAAACAAATGTGTTGCTAAACTCAAAAACTATAGTACTGTACAAGTTGCATACTGGGCCAGGACTGACTTCCAAACTATTTGTGATGTCACAAATCCTGCTGGTAGGCCCCCGCCCCTTCAAATCATCTTTCCACTTTCAGCAGATGAACTTCTAGTGTCAAACTCTGCTGTTGGACTCCTCTAAAGTTGGGGCGACTCATAACAATTACAACAGTATTGTCAAAATAGATGCAGCCGATGTCCTAGATTTCCTTGGATCCTACAATTCCCACAATGCAATTGCAACACTATAATAGACTGATGGTTTCTTCCCATTCTGTATTGCCAGTTCAAATTTTCTTTAAACAAAGTCTAAACTTAACATAGAAACACAGGATCATTTAACAATCCTATAGCTTTATGTTGACCACCAGATTTTAATCATTTAAACTCCATCATGGCAACAAAACATAGTTAATGAATTCATCCGTAATTGAATCATAAAGTGGTGGATTTAAGCTGCAGTTACCACAACTGTGTAATATTTTGTATCTGCTTGACATTAGTGGCACACGTAACAACATTTTCCAAGTCCTCCAAATTAAATAATGAAATACCCTGTTTGTCTATAACCCTGATATGGACATTATCAGGGTTATCACTGAAGACATTATACTGTTTGCATAGGCGGCTCCTCGTGACAAGTGAGCTAATCTTTGTGTGTATAATTGGTGAAGTGCTCCTTCAACTAGCTGTCAGGTCAGTTGGTACATTGTTTGGCCTCATATCAGAGTGAAACGAGACACCGTCCAGCTGTTGTGGAAAGGCTTACCTGGAGCTGAGGGAAACTGAATCTGCTCTGCACAGCCTAATCTCAATATTCAGTTCTGCTACTTTTATGCCATTTAGTTTGTGTTGTTTCACTCTGTCTTCTCTTTATTGCTGCCTTTACTGAGCATGGAGGGATGCACTGTGATATTGAACTGTAAAATTCTTACTGTAAGTATACAGAATGATATGTTACACTTAGTATGCATGAATTAGACTCTTATGTATGGCTTGCCAATAACAGCTGTGTCCTGTGGAAACCTTTTGTCTGAAAAGGGGGAACATTTAATTGGATGTCCCATTGACACAGATATTATATTGGTCACTCTTTACACACTATCATCCACAGAACCATCTTATGTATGTTGGATGAAAGACTTTCTCCAGGACACTTATTTATTACTATATAAGGTGTATATATATATATATATATATATATGTCTTTTAAATGTATAAATTAACGTTATCTACAATGTAAAGAATAATTTATGATTCTTCCAAAAGCCCTTATAGACTATTAAGTTAAGTTACAGTAAAAACTCTAAACAAGGATAGCATATTAATTATCAAATACATAAAGCTCCTCCAAGGCCACCAATCCAAAGCGGATCAGATTTTTTCACAGTCTCATGTTCTATTGTCAGGATATAGTGAAAGTTTCAGCAAATGTAACAAAAAAATAAAATAAAATAAAAATCTACTGCAGCTTTAATAAACACCATTTCCAAAAAGCCCCAGAACTTCAGGGGAAAAGAATCATGGCCCAACTAAAGAGACAAGTCTATTGGTTAGAGTGCGGTTAACTCACATATAGTATGTCCGTAATGAGAGCAGGACAGAGGTCAATTTTTACAGGGTGATGACTTTCTTGCTAACAGCTAAAAGTATTATACAGACATATTCATCCTGTTCCATAACTTGATCTGGGATTTGCCCAGGTGTAACACAACTCCTATTTCAATTTTAAGCCTCCGCCCTGGCAAAAGCTGTGGTCGGGGGCATTATGTTTTTGGGTTGCCTGTCCGTCCGTCAATCCCATTCTAGAGAACGCAATATCTCAGGAGCTCCTAGAGGAAATTTCATTACATCCAGTACAAAAGTCCCCTTGGATGAAAGGATGTTTGACTGATTAGGCTGCATTCAGACTGCAGGTCAAAGTGACCCAAAGATGTTTTTCAGTGTGAATAGTCCAAATGACATGGAATGGGCCAGTTTGTGGTCCAAATCAGCCATCAGCCATTATCCAGCGCCCTAACTCAAGAACAGAAGGGGAAATTGCAACCGTATTATACATTCAGTCTATATAAATACTGAATCTTGGGTGCCCACCTTGAAACTTTGTGATTATATAAATCTGTGCTTCTTTTCAGAAACATCCATATTTGAAGCATTGTAGTCCACCACATGTTCATTGGTTTGCTGATACTGAGCTTCGGGTAATTGTTGTTGCACCGTGTGACGACACTCTCTATAGTCCTATGTACCGTAAAAATAGTTCTATGGCCCTACATGCAGCACAGAATCTTGCACAGCCCCTTTATGTGTATAGTAGCTGCAGTGAAACCCTTAGTGCCTTTGGTAACTTGTTGTCAAGGCTTCAGTTGCTGATGAGGGAGGGAATGTGACGGGTCCCCTCACCCCTCATTGCTATGGAGTGAGCAGTCAGCCAGTGTCTGTCTCTGCTGCAGTAGAAAGGCTTACTGCGAGGAGCTGAGTTTATTTTCTTGAAGGGACGTGGGCTTTCCTGAACACGATACTCACCAAATGTGTTCATTTCCTCCTTTTAAAAACACACTGGGCTCCACACGTCTTACAGTGTTCTCATTGTGCTGCCAGACTGATTGTGGTCAGCAAAAAGCCGAAGTGAATCTAGACCAGTGTGTACCTTTGATGTTACGTAGTATCACTTTCTCTACTCTGTTTCTTCACTCTTTGCCAGTGAAAGAGAAGGTAAGTAGATGGCAACAGCATTGCTCTTTTAACCTATAAGAGAGTTTTCAGCGGATGTCATTTAAAATTTAAATATTGCAATATCTCAGTGTCTTTTACAAACCTTCTGTACAGCAATTCTCTCACTGTCACAAGAAATCCTGTTCACAAAGTGTGTCCACTTTGAGAGGAAGCAACCAGCCTAGACTTTAGAGAGACGAATGGTTTGTGTTTCTAAAATGTGTCCTAGAGGAACTGGCCTCGATATAAATTTGTTCCTTGACAGGATGATGAAAATAGCAAGGAAATGAAGAAGAAGGTTGAGCGTAATACACTCAATGAAAAAAAAAAAAATTACCTCAAAGTCCACTTACTAGCTTTTAATCACATCACTTAATCCTGTCAAAAGTGCTTTTCATTTTCCAAGGCCAATAATGGACGTCATCACTCCAAAAGACAGTCAAATGTACAACAACCCATGTTGTTCACCTGCCCTAACTAAAATTCTGTTGTTTTTTTTTTTTACATGAAATAGTAGTAAACACAGGTGTTACCAATGATACTGATCATGGTTCTGTTCCATTTAGTGTAGCAGAACCTTTACAGTGTGCCAACTTATATACCTATATTTTATTAATTGTAATTTGTTAGTTAATGTGTTATTTATTAGTTTTGCTAATAATTTGTACTATATTATTTGCACAATGTACTTTACTTTAGCTTGTAATACATTTTTAAAATAATAAAAAAGGTATTTATTTATTTTAAGCAGTTCAGGTCAGGCTTGGACCACGACAAGGACTACACAACAGTTAAACAAAGAATAAAACCAAATATTAACTGAATCTCTTAGCAATACGCTGGCTTTGATACTTGGCACATATATAACTGTTAGCTAGCTTATTAGTAAGTTAGTTAGTTTTCCTTAGAAGCTGTTTTTCATCAACTTTTGACAGAAGCTCGCTGTTTCCACCTGCTCTGTCTTTCTGATATGCTAAAAAAACAACAGACTCACCTCTGTTAAACAGAAATTAAACAAACGCTGACCTTTCTCCTTGCAGATATTTCACATTTAATGGAAGGAAAGGCACAAGTGTAATTAACAATAGTATTATTCAGTGTATGGCAGCTAGGTGCATGGCCATGGTATTGTTCATTTTGGCTATCACAGCTTACTAGGCACACTGAACAGAGCAATAGAGTGCTGCAGGAATGAGTCCTAAAACCTGGAAATAAGTTAGCATTTTAGCATGTCTGGTTCCCACGCCTCAAAGTCAGTGAGTTAATAAATTAGTTAAATGGGTTTTTGGTTAGATGCCTAAAATAAGGTCTGTTGTTAACACAGCTGTTCTATGAGATAAAATATATCAGTAAATACCCCCAGGTGAATTCTGAAGCTTTTATCAGTGACAGAGGTTGTCAGTGACAGTCACATGACATCTAACCCAAAGATTTTAATTATACAAAGGTTAGTAGGGGTGATGTTGAAGTCATGCTACCATGGTGTTGTTCGTTTAGCCTAACGTTAGCTTTTTACTACTAGCAATTGCATTTACGCTTCAAAAATGGTAAAAGATTATCTTACTGAACAAAACATGTAATTATCATAAACCTTTGTTCACACAGAGCTTATTTTTTTTAAATAAAAATCCAAAATCCAATGAAAAATTCCTATTGGCTTTTTGTCAACTTCTAACTTGCTAACTTGCTAATGCTAACTTCCAGGTCGGCCTACAAATGCACTCTATAATGTTATAAATTATACCTGTGCATTTCCTGTTATAGTGACAGTACAACTGTTTTCTGTTAAAAAGTTTATTTTATTTTATATGTGTTATCATATGTGTCATTTTGGCAGCAGTGCCCAAACATGGACACACTTATTGTTAATCCTAACAATTTTCAGTTTAAAGAAATCCTGAATATAGCTATTGCAGTATACACAGTTGTTAAATTTACTAACCTGTGAGACCACATGGAAGATTAATTTATTAATTCATGATAAAAAGTCATATAGACCATAGATAAATATTAAAAGAGGGTACATCACAAGAGCAGAGATTAGGAACTTACATATGAAGAGATTTCCACACACTTTTATACAGAACTAGAACACACTGAAGATATGGTATGAAAAACTGTGGAAAACCTTTCATACCGAATACACAAGTCTGTCTCTACACCTCCAGCTAGATACTTTTCTCTTTGTTAAAGCATACCCTATTCTGGATTTTTGGATTCATTTAAAGCCAGTTTACGGGTGTGGCACACCAGTCTGTTCTTTATAACTGTCTTCCATTGAGGTGTGTCCGTTTGTTTAACAGGGCTCACCACCAGAGTTGTGTCTGTTTTAACAGATGAACGTTCAGTATTCAGTATTGGAACTTATACTGGAGTGGAACCCTTACAGTCTAGTGCAGTAGAAATGTGATTTCTCTAAATGATGCATCTGGGAGAGCTAAGTTGGTCAATGAACTGTACTTTCATGACTCCATCTTCCTTGTTTATACTTGAGCTACTGTATAGATGATCTTAACAAGCTCGTTATTTTTAAGGTACAGGTTTTTTTGTTTTAGACTGACTGATGGTCAGACAATACAAGACATTTACAGGTGTCACTGAGCTGTGGGTACTAGTGATGGGCATTTTCTTCCTCTTTTCTGTTTCCCTGCAGTACTTCTAGTTTAGCAGAATAAGGGACTCCCTTTTAAATCACTTCTTAAAACCCATTTTGATAAACTTGCCTTCATAGGATGTCGTAATTTTTATTTCCATTTTTTTATGGCTTCTATTCTGCTCTTATTAATATGTTTTGGTATCCTGTATTTATAAATGTAATTACATTTTGTGTATCCCGACATCATTTTGCTTTGTCTGTCAAAGCACTTTGTAAACTCATTTAAAGGTGTTATTTAAAAAAAGGGTTATTATTATTATTATTATTTTGATACTTTTAAGCCATTTTTTCAATAATACTCATGCACTTCCACGTAAAATTGTGTATTGTCAATACAGGACTTTTACTTGTAATTTATTTATACAGTATGGTATTGCCACTATAGGATCTGAATACTTATTCTACAGCTGCTTGCATTGCTTACAAAACACTTAAATGGAATAGATAATTTTACAAAAGACATTTTGACATGTCACAGTGGGCAAAGCACAGGTAATAAATTATGGAACATAATAATAATAATAATAAAAAAATGATGGCTGGATTCTATTTATCTGCTTCATTGTTCATGCTGGCTCACTGTCACACTGTCATAGCTGACTGGGACACTTGAATAGAACAAAGCATTGTCAACCATGACCAGATGAAAAAGGTTTATTGTATATGTATGTATATATGTATATGCTCACAAACATGAATATGAAATTTGGCCTCTTTGCTTGTGTTTTGGCTCATTGTTTCATAGTTACCGTAAGGGTATGCAAAAATAATTTTGGTTAAGGGTATGAATTAAACACAGACATATGGCACATGTAATATGTGTTTTGTGTGCCTGTTTTTACTCATAGGTGTAGAATGGGGACTCCACTTCCCAGCAGCCAATGGCGAGTACCAGTCTCCCATTAACTTGAACTCCCGGGAGGCTCAGTATGACCCGTCCCTCCTGGATGTCGGCCTATCGCCAAACTACGTGGTGTGTCGAGACTGCGAGGTCATTAACGACGGACACACTGTTCGCATCATTCTCAAGTCCAAATCAGGTGACTCCAGGGGACGTGATGACATGTCTCACCATTGACTCATTTAAGAAGTGATGAGAAGGCAGGATGATTGTTTAGTTTTGTTGTCAGTAACTGTGGTTTAGTAGTGAGTGACACAAAAGTAAGTCCAACCAGTCAGCAAATGACCTCTTTTCTCACTTGTACTTTAACTCTGACTGCTTTGATCTGTCTTCTATTTCCTGCGTGTGCTTACCCACAATGCTCCGGGTTTCCTGCGCTGTTGCCAGTGGTTACTGGGGGTCCGTTGCCTAGTGATCATGAGTATGAGCTTCATGAGGTTCGATTCCACTGGGGCAAAGAGAACCAGAGAGGATCAGAGCACACTGTCAACTTCAAGGCTTTCCCTATGGAGGTAGTGCAGTCACACACACACACACACACACACACACACACACACACACACACACAGACATAAGGCCATGACCGAGGAGTGGGGTGCAGACCAGCAGCCTATAAAAGACTAAAGAACTGCAGTGTACATATGTTTAGACTTCTGGCACTGACATTTGTCCTTCAGATAACATCGAAGCTTGTTGAGTCCTTGAACAAACTGTTTTTTCTTCTCTTACAAGCAACACTTTTGACATCTGAAGCTGAAGGATGAAAAATAAATGTCATAGGCTGAAATAAATAATTTTCTTTGAGTGTGTGTGTTTAGGTAATCTTTAGATCAGGTTGTGTCCATACATATGTCTATAAACTTAACATAGGCTTAAAGAAGAGCTCAAATTAATTAGGTAAATTAAGGTTAAGTTTGAATTTTGACAAATATTTAAAAAGATGAAACAGTTAATCTGGAGCTGGAGGCGGGAGGCAATCAGCCTAGTTTAGCATAAAAACTGGAAGGCAGGGGAAAAAAGCGCTAGCCGATCTCTCCAAAACTGAACTACTCATTTATAACACCTCTGGAAATTACCAATTCACAGCGGTGGTGTCTATTTTTGTTTAAAGACCAGTGTGGTTAGGGATTTAGCGGCATTGGTGAAGTTGCAGTTACTAACTGAACACTGCTCGCGTCTGTATTTGACGACCTGGGAATGAGAACGGGCTGTGAAGTGTGTACGGGAAAATATGGTGGATGCAAAAAATCGAAAAGGCCCTATCTACAGCCAGTGTTTGGTTTGTCCGATATAGGCGTCTTTAAAGCACATGGTATTGATCTACTTATTTAACTGTTTCTCAGAGGAATTTGTATTTCACATATTTCTTTAAAGGTTATGGTTTTTATCTCTGGTGCAGACTTGCAGACTGCATGTCCTGACACTAACTTCTGACATTTTGTTGAAATTTAAGGTCAAAACTGAAACCTTGGAAATGCCAAAACTGCAACACCAGCTCACTCAGTTTGAGGATACTTGATGTTTCTCTTCATTGCTTCATTCATGGGGTCAATGTATAAAATTAATACTTAAATAATGTTTTAAATGGTATAACTTGGTATGGTATAGCTTAACATTTTATTCATCCATTCTCAACCTTAGAAATAAGAATGAAAGAATAAATAACATAATCATCTTTTCACAAAGAAAAGGGTTGGCTCATTTCAGTAAACTTAAGGGTTATGCTACAGCATGGTATGACCCTGGGCAAAGATCCAGCCTGAAAAACAGTTGCCCGCCGCAATAAAACATTTCTAAATAACAATAGCAGTAGGAACCAATTTAGGAGTTGTTTTGGAGCTGTAGGCAGGGGAAGTTTGAAAGTATCGATTGACGGACTAAGTCATTATTGGTTTTAGTCTTTTCATGGGATCTGTTGACCCTAATAAAGAGTATCTCTGGCCTTATTCTTTAAGATTGGGCTAGACTGGTTTAAAAATGTTATGTTTTATTATAGATATATATTTGAACAGCATGTCAATTAGAACTCAGGATAGCTTTTGACCACTTTTGCAAATCACAAAATCAATGCTCAATTGGAAGTCTTGGCTAAAACTACTGAAAACGAGGCTGAGAGCTCTGGGATTGCTGAGATTACATAATTATTTTTCTATATTAAAGTAAGATAAATACCATGTCAACTTTTAATTGTATTATCTGTGGTCTGGTCTGATATTAACCTGTTTCAAGGTAGAGGTTTTGCACTCTGTTCTCTTTGTTTACGTTAACTTGACATAAGAGCCCATATAGAAAGCCCTCAGTCATCCCCAGCTGATGGTTTCTCACTCTCTTACCCACTGTTCCCTACACCTGTTTACAACAATGGCCTCTCAAATACTGCTTGTGCTTGCTGTTGTCTCTCTGTCTGTCTTAGCTCCACCTGATCCACTGGAACAGCACTCTATTTAACACTTTGGAGGACGCTCTTGGGAAGAAGAATGGAGTCCTCATCATCGCTCTTTTTGTGCAGGTAAACACCCACATAAAGAGCCAGTAGGCTGACGTAGTGGCCAGATAAGCGATTGGTTGGCCAACAGAGGTCAAGATTAGTACAATATACACACTTGACTAAATATACATACTGTGTAGTTTGTATTACCTTGAAGACTGAATAAGCAAGTATTTTGTCTTTTTTTTTCCATTGTATTACAGGTAACAGTTATCAATACACAGTAAATTTGTGTAATAATGTGCCAATGGTTGGGTGAGCATTCTTGTGGAAGCCCAGTATTCATGTTAAATGATGTTTTGAGCTATCACTAGGCCCTCAGTGTGTATCAGGCTCTGCCAACATAAATCTACCTCTGACAGGCGAAACCATTCTCCTGACTTACCTTTAAGCTGCCACTCTCGCCAAAGCAAAGAGCTGATATTCGGCAGCTTGACCCGTATTGTACCTACATTATATGTGCTAAGCCTAAACTTTAATGGCTGGCCTATCAGGCTTGATAGGCCATATCCTCTTAATACCATAGTCCACTCAGTTGTCCAACCACCATTTATCACTGCATGCATCACTGTATATCTGTCTCCACTAGTCTTACTAAACAGCCACTAATGAGCAACCACTCTAGTAAGAGAAACAATTCATGAATCATGTCCTTGAAGAAGGCAAAGAGAAAACAATATTGCTTCAATGTGAATTTGTGTGTGAGTGCAAGAATGCAAGTCAGGCACTCTCTCAATAGTCTAACTGGTGTTAGGCCCACGACCCCGGGAAGGCTAAACAGTGTGTTCCAGCATCTTAGAACCAACAATCAGCATTCTGTTGATCAACCCACCAAGCAACAAACCACACAATCATCCTCAACCACTGGCAGTATGTCCTCAACTACACTCAAGTGCACAACATGTTAAGTGCACAACATGTTACACCAGGTAACACCATCAGCTAACGACATGCTAGCCAACAACAACCAGTTAAGAACCATTGACACAAGGATGTATAAAGAGAACTTGGAAACGTTGGAGGCGGCCCTCCGTTTTTTCCTGTGAAAGCTGAGTGAGACTTCTGCTGGCTGAGCCCACTAACTTCCAGTTTAGCTAACTTGAATGGGGATAAATAATAAATAATAGCCTAATAAACTAATAGACTTTAAAAATGTTATCAGACTTAATGGATCCAGTTTTGATTATTTTGCGGTGGTTTATTATTCGAAAAAATGTATCAACCGTTTTACAGCAGCTTCTTTCACAATGTAACTTTATGGGAAAAAGTATTTTTGGCCCAGTGTGATGGATGCCATTGCTGTAATTACACGGTTTGGCCACTGTCGCTATGTCAAATTGGTTTCAAAGCCCAGCGGTCCTCCTGGGGGCTTGCTAAGGACGTGTTAAGCTAGTAGCAAGCTAATCACAATGTTGCCTGACACAAATAACCCATACAATCTTCTTCAGCTACCCCACCAAAGCACCTCTGCCTGAAATTTCACCGTGTTACCTTCTTAACCCTCTCTCTCTCCGAACTGTAGTCGCGGCTCTCTCTTTATTTGTCTTCTTTCTTCTTACCTTTTCTCCTCTTTCTTGGGCAAACTTTCTATCCTGGATGAGCCCCCAGTGTTACCTTCTCAACCCTCTCTCTCTCCAAACCGTAGTTGGGAGATGGTTTAATGTTTTGGCTCTTTGTTGGTAACCGGCGTCTTAGAGTCCGGGCCATAGTGTGGGAAGCAACGAGGACGAAGTAGAGACTTTCGTGCCGCACATTTAATTCCTTTCTTTAGCAAAGACAGAACACAACACTGGGCCTGGTCAAATTCTGTCCAGACATTAAAGCGCTCCACTTGGCCGTCGGTCTGAGGATGAAACGGTGTTGTTCGTGTCTTGTTAATCCCCATCAGTGCGCACATCTTCTGGAACATGGCTGACTGAAAGTTGGTGCCCTGGTCACTGTGCAGGCACTGTGGGGCTCCATATCTACACACCCACTCGGAGGCAATCTTCTCTGCCACTGTCACTGCTTGCTCGTTGGGAACAGGGTAAGCCTCCACCCATTTGCTGAAATAGTCTTGTACTACAAGTATGTAGCGGTTATGCCTCTCTGTTTTCATTCATTAAGGGGTCCCATCAAATCAACCGCTATCCTCTCCATGGGAGCACCAAACCGCCCATAGCAGCCTGAGGGGTCTTCGGGCGAGCCTTTGCAGCGCAGCT